TGAGATATTGCACAATGTTCATATTTTCAAGATGGTAGCAGAGACATATGTCTCTTGGACTACTATGCAAATGGAGCCAATAGGGAAGCTGGTACGCAACATGTCCTGATGCATAAACACATTGATACACAATGGGACATGTTGCACATTGGGACACGTTGTGCATCATCAAAGTTCATTACCATGGTTGCTTATCATGACAGTGGCATAGCTCCATCATCTTCAAATCAAGTGACGCAGCCTCTGATTCAGGATCTCAGCTACTGTATGATTTGCAACTGTGTTTTATGGGTATTGGGGATGATAAAGTGGGCTGACTATTGAGATTGTACTCAGTCGTCTTGCTCAAGAGAGCTCTATATACAGAGTGTCAGACTTCATTGTGATTTACTTCCATTTTCAACTATTTTTGATGCTTATTTTATGAGAATGCTACAGCACTGGCAACCAGTGTGCTATTGCAGTGCACAAAAAGAAGCAAATTTATGGACCCATGTTTAAAAAATGTACGACATGCTAATAATAGCTCCTTGGAGTAGTTTTATCAGCATGTGTATTTAATTTGTCCTGAATTATTTCAGACTCAACGCTAATGCATGTATTAGTAATAAAGACAATGACATTCTTTATTTAAACCAGTTGCACATTGGTGTGTGTGTGTGTTCCTTCATTTCCATTATACAATTGATTCATTATTGCAGGAAGAGTGTCACCAAAGTCATTTTAAAAAAGAAAGAACGGCTCTAAAACAAACCCTGATTTAGAGAATAATTATTAACAACTGAATAGTTGTATCTCTCAGGGTTGTTTCTAAGGAGGATGTTTAATGGCATGAAGCTTAAAGAAGCAATCAAGAAAATCTAATATCTTCTTTATTTTTGCTGGGTCATCATAAGCTTGTTACTATTTTGGTTGGAAGAATATTAATTATGCATCTCCTGCTTATCAGAAAATTGTTCTCTGTGTGCCCATGCAAAGTGCCCTCCCCCCGAGAAAGTTGAGTTTTTATTTCCACAATCTTATGTGTATTCATCCATTCCATCTTGGGGATATGTATACATAGAAATAAGTTTCCAACACACCTGTTGCTTACTGGTTTGGGATCTTAATGCACAGACAGTACTCACTGGATGACCTTGGTCTAGTCTATACCCCTCAGCCTTTTCCCATCTTCTTCATCTCCAGTTGGTTACATTACAATATCCATCATCCCCAATGTGTGGATGCATACACATGTGCACATGGATTTGGTTTGGTTTTGGTAGCATGGAATTGGTTTATAATAGGTGGAATTCTGTTGATGTCTTATTCCTGTGTAAGTTACCCTCAAACATGGCATAAGGAAGAAGTGGGGAACATCATGATGGCAGAGTCCCCCCAGCTCCCCTTACAAGCCACACTTCCCACACCTAACCAAAATACCTCTGTTTTCCTCTGCAGTCCTTCTCAAAATGGCTACTGGAAGTGATGTCAAGTTATTTCCTCTTACCATTTTGAGAAGGATTTACAGTAGAAATGGAGGAATTTGGGGTGCTGGGGTGTTTGTGGGAGTAGGGAAGTTATGGAAATATTAGAAATTTGAGGACTGAAGGAAAATTTCACCAAAGGGGCACAATTCTTACTTAGGAGTCAATGCTGTCATCCCCTAACCCAGCTATACCCTTGTCTAAACACCATTTTCCTCCCCTCTTGCTTTGGCTGTATCCACACTGCAAAAATAAAGCAGTCTGACATCATTTTAACTATCATGGCTCCATCCTCTGGAATCCTGGGATTTGTAGTTTGGTGAACTATTCAGCTTGTTCTGAGAGAGAGTTCTGGGGGCTAACAGCTAGAGGGTCCCAGGGTCCTTTGCCCAACTGTAGCTGATCTTGGACAAGTTAAGGGCTGCATCTACACTGCCAAATTATTGCTGTTTCATACCACTTCAACTGCCATGGTTCAGTGCTGTGGAATTCTGGGGAGTGTTGTTTTGTGAGAGAGGTCTGGTGCCCCATCAAACTACAAGTCTCAGAACTCCATAGCATTGAACCATGGAAGGTAAAGTGGTATCCAATTGCATTAATCCTGCTGTGTGGCAGCAGCTGACCTTTCTCTCTTTTACCATGTGTCTTCTCACAGGGGGTTTCAATGGAGGCAAAGAACATTTTCTTTTCACACAGCCAGGGATAGGTTTCAGTGAAATCAGTGAAAGGGAATATTAGAAGGGCTTGGTGTAATTCAAAGGTGATCTTATAAAAAAAGGATGACGGTATATCCCTGAGGACATTTCATTAGGTTGTTTGGTGGCAATGGGGAGGGGGGTGTCTCTGTCTTTGTGCTTCGACCCAAACATACTCTGAGAGGGGGGAATTATTTCAGACAGCTGAAAATGAAGGATGGAAGAGAATATCAGATGGAGAATAGAGAGCGGGATATGTAAATGAGGATGGGAGAGGTGAGATAGACTCTCTGAAGTTAATTATTTGAGAGATAAGGGGATGACTTCCAAGGGCAGCAGTTAAGGCAGTAGTTGCAAGAAGTGTTCAGGTACAAGGCTGATAAAACCATCAGAGGCTCTCAGGGATGGCTCAGTAATACTTTCAAAGACCCGGGTTCTTAGAGGCACCCTTCTTAGAAACCTATCCAGACAAATAGAAGTTGGGTATTTCTTAACCGAAATGCTTGAGAGCAGACGTATTTTGGATTTTGATTTTTTCCTGGATTTTGGAATACAGAGGGTGCTTGGTATCTGCTGGGGTTTGGTTCCAGGATCCCCCTTCAATACTAAAGTCTGTGAATGCTAAAGTTCCATAATATACAAGGGTGTAGTAAAAGTCTGTTTCTTATTTAAAATGGCAAAAACAAGGTTTGGTTTTAGGATTTTAAAAAATATCGAACCATAGAGTCCAACCCCATTCTGCCATGCAGAAAGACACAATCAATGCACCCTTAAACAAAAAACCTCTAAAGGAGATTCCACCACTCTCAAAGGCAGAATATTCCACTGTTGAACAGCTCTTACTGTCAGGACGTTCTTCCTAATGTTAAGGTGGAATCGCTTTTCTTGTAGTTTGCATCCATTGTTCCATGACCTAGTCTCTGGAGCAGCAGAAAACAAGCTTGCTCCATCCTCAGTATGACTTCCTTTCAAATATTTAAACATGGCTATCATATTACCTCTTAACCATCTCTTCTCTAGGCTAAACATACTCAGCTCCCATAGGGCATAGTTTCCAGACCTTTCATCATTTTAGTCATCCTCCTCTGGACATGTTCCAGCTTCTCAACATCCTTTTTGAATTGTGATCATTGAATGAATATATCCAAGCCATGGATAGTTGACTCAATGGATACAGAATCTGTGGATATGGAGGGTCAGCTGTACAATCAAATTGTTGCAAGCCCTTAACTCTAGAGAGAGGGTCAAAAGGAACTTGAGATGGACTTTTGGATTAATAGATACCACTTTAACAGATGCGTGTGGAGTTCATTCATATTTAGGAGGAAGGTGCCTAGAATCCTTGCATCTCCTAATTTCTTATTTTCCTTGAAACATTCTTGTTTTTGTTTGGACGATGATCATGATAATTTCTTTTATTTACTATCCTTCCTCCCAAAGGAAGTCAGGGTGGCACACAACTTAATAAAAAATGCATCATTTTTATATTATTAAAAACATGAACCAAACAACAAAACTAACAGCATACACAGAATCTTAAAGAAGTAAGGTCCCAGGAATGGTTTATGTTTCTAAATTCTGGATAAGCAAATATGTTTTTAGCTCTTGTGTCATATGCAATTACATAGGGGAAGCCCACTACCTTGTACAGGGAGCTAGCTCCTTGGTTGAAGTGTCAAAACCAAGAAGACCATATATTGCATCTTTAAATCATAGGCTATGGCAGGAGTGAGCAACTGTTTGAGACTTAAAAAGCTGCATTAGCCCCCAGGAGACTCTAGAATATTGCATCCTCTGATGATACCCCTTTTGAAAAAATACCACAAGTTTTTGTCCCCAAATGCTCTTGGCCCATTTAGAGGATTTAGGAACATAAACCATTCCTGAGACCTTACTTCTTTAAGATTCTGTGTATGCTGTTCGTTTTGTTGTTTGATGTCCATATTGATAGAAGTAACTTGATTCTGCTTTGGTCAGGCCTCTCCTGGAATAGTGCGTCCAGTTCTGGGCACCACAATTCAAGGGTGCTGCTGACAAGCTGGAGCATGTCCAGAGGATGGCGACCAAAGTGGTCAAAAGTCTGTAATCCACCATAACCTACGAGGAGTGGCTTAGGGAGCTGGATATGTTTAGCCTGGAGAAGAGGAGGTTGAGAGGTGGCATGATAACTATGTATAAATATTTTGAAGGATGTCATATTGAGGTTGGAGCAAGCTTGTTTTGTGCTGCTTCATAGTCAAGGACACAGAGCAGTGGATTCAAATTACAGGAAAAGGGATTCCACCTCAACATTAGGAAGAACGTCTTGATTGTAAAAGCTATTCAACAGTGGAACAGGTTGCCTTGGAGTGTGGTGGGCTCTCCTTCTTTGGAGGTTTCTAAACAGAGGCTGGATGGCCATCCGTTGGGAATGCTTTGGAGGTGTCTTCCTACATGCTAGAATGGAGTTGGACTGGATAGCCCTTGAGGTCTCTTCCAGCTCTAGAACTCGTGCTATTTTAATTTTGGGAGATGTGAAATTCACTTCTTGTTTTGGGGAAAAAAATATTTCCTGGGACTATAATAACTAGGGGAGTGATATGGGGCAAATGTTCTAGTAACTCCTTATTCCTTTCTAGTCTCTTGTACTACTGAATTGGTTTTAATCATCCTGTGGATCTATCTCATTGTCTCTCCTTTTCTTCAATCCATTGTGGGGACTGGATCACCCCTCCCTACCCTTGTGCCAAACAAGATAACACAAGCCTGCAATAAGCAGTACTCTCTTGTAGGTTTTTTTTTCAATCAGTCTGGAAGATTGCTTTGGCTTTTCCCTCTATCTATAGTAGTTTAGAAGTGAGTCAATGTGGCATAGTAGTTTGCATGTTGGACTACAACTCTGGAGACCCGGGTTCAATTCCCCTTTGGCTGACTTTGGGCAGGTCACACAGCCTCAGGGGAGGGTAATGACAAACCTCCTCTGAACAAATCTTGCTATGATTTGTTTCCCTTAGGGTCACCATTGGTTGGAAAGGAATTGAAGTCATGCAACAAGAAACAAATAGTAGTTTAGACTTTGCATAGGCTGAGACCTATATTAGAAAATTCTCAAGTTAAAAGGGTGTGCCTACGATACTCAAAATAGTTAGTTCATCAGTTTCTTCCCAGTGCCCTTCATCACTTTGGTTGTGGGATGCTTTGTTCTCTGCAAATGTTTAAGAGGCAAGTAACTCTGGTTTTGTAAGATAAATTCTGGAATAAATTTAATTAGTCAAGACTGGCTTTGCATGGATAATTTGGGCTGAGTTCCAGTGCTGCCAAACAAGCAGACAAACAAACAAAACTTTTTTCCAGTCTTAGTGTGTGTCTAAAACCTCCTTCTGTTTGACTACACCTCAAACCTGTTTGACTACAGCTCTCAAATGAATCACAATTTTCCCCCCAAAAAACCAAGAGATGTTGCAGCATCTGCAGATTCATCAGAAAAGGTTGTGGTGGAGATAAAGGATGAGGAATATGAGAGATGTTTCTCTTTATTTCTTTAGGACAAGAGTAAGCAAAATTTAGCTCTCAAAGGTTGTTTTACTGCTGCTCCCAGCATTCTTCATCATTGGGCATGCTGGCTGCAAGTACTGGGAGTTGTAGTCCAACCACTTCTGGAGAGCTGCCTACCCCTGTTGTAGATCTTTTTTGCATGTTTAGTACACTTATCTGCAAAACTGGATAGTATTTATTTTAAATTTGATTGATTCATTAATTGACTGCTATCTGTGAAGGTCCAAATCTTGTTGCTGTGTGCCTTCAAGTTGTTTCCAATTATGGCAACACTAAGGTGCTCCTATCATGGGGTTTTCTTGGTAGGATTTATTCAAAGGGGGTTGTTTTTGCCTTCCTTTGAGGCTGAGAGTGTCTAACTTGACCAAAGTCAGCCAGTGGTTTTCAATGGCCAAGCAGGGATTTAAGCCCTAATCTGTGAATATCCTAGTCACTCTAACCACAACACCATGCTGATCCAAATCATAAGAATATTAAAAAGAGCTCTGGTAGTCATACTAAAGACTGTTTAATTCTAGCACCCTCTCTGCAACCATTGGTGACTTTCATGCTGGTGAGGTGGTGTATAATCATAAATTTAAAGGAGCTGTCCAACGTGGTGAACCTTGGTTGCAGATAGGGTTCACAAACTTGCTGTGTCCCTTTAATATTCAGGATAAAACCTAGAGTGATCTCAACATGTCACTGACATAGAAGCCAGCATTCCTCACTACCAACATTGTTCTGAGTCCTAGCTATGAGTGGGAGCAATTGAAGTGGAGATGGAAGTCCTGTGCTTGCCATGGAGGGGTTACTTTGTGTCTGGCCATAAATTGCGTGCAGAGCCACAGTTTGTCGTGGAATTGAGGGCACGCAGTCTAGCCTGTGATTCTTCCACAATACAAGTATCTTGCCTTGGAGGTCATCCAGGAACAAAATACTAAGCAAAATCTGTTAGAGACGAGACAGCAGCAGCCCCAGTTATGTGCAGAAGCTTACCAAACACTTACAGTTCTCAGCATCCAGGCAGTCCAGGTCAGTAGGAAACAGCAAGAAAGCCAAGGTGTCAGTCCAAGGGAGTGTCTCCTTTTGCATGGTCAATTTACGATGGAGGCTGAAGGTCCTTCAGAAATACAAGGCAAGAATCAAGAGAGGAGAGTGTTGCTTCCTTCTGCATAGCCACTGGCGGGACAGAGAGAAGAGCCTGTATTGGAGGCATAAATCTTTGTTTATTTCATTCTCACGTGCAAGCACCATATGTTTCAAAAGTCATCTTCCTGCTAGGTGACACTTCATGGAAATTTTCTCTTCGTCTGTTTTTTTCTTTCGCTCTTTACACTTTTACAATTTTTCAAAAATCTTTGTGAAAAGTATGTGCCAAAAAAACAGGGACTTTTTCAAATCACCATCACTTTATCACCACATTGGTTTTGCACAAAAGACATTTTTCACACAACTTTAATGATGTACACGCATCAACACACACCCTTCTCCTCCTCTCTCTCTTGCACACACATAACTCAAAATGCAGAAAAGACTTTACTTTCACAGATAGATGAAAGATCTCAGAATAACTGATTTACAAAACAAAACAAAATAAAGTGCAAAAAATGTGTCATGTCACCCTTTCTCTTTGAGGATGATTTAAAATTGTGGATGTTCCTTCTATCCTAGCTTGCATTCAAAGGATTAACTCAAGCACTGTCATTTCCCTGGATTGCACAGAAAATGGGAGTAGTGTCGAAAATATGTGGGATGTGTTTCCCAAAGTATTTTTCTTTAAAGCATCTTCAATACAGCCCTAGCATGTGTGTCTCTATCCTTGTGTGAATTTAATTGGGGCAGGCATGGAAGGAAAGAAACAGGTGCATTCATTATGAAGAATGATCTTTAGTTTCCATCTGCTTTTCTCTGGGTAGAAGGAAAAATCTGTGGTCCCAGTAATTTTTTTCCCTCTGTGGGTGGGCAAGAAAGGAATTGTAGGGCAGGAAGATGATTTTGACTATGGGAGGGATGGTTTAAATCCCTCTGGAGAAAAGTTTAAGCCTTTACCTGTGAGTGTTTCAGTACAGCTCAGAAAGAAGAAAAACTGGGAAGCATTCAATGAAATCCACAAAAGAAAAAGAACATGCGTCCCAGGATGCTGAAAAGATGGAATTGTATTAGATAAAAAGTCCAACACGTTTTGGACTATGGATGCTTTTTCATGGTCTAAAACCCTAGAGCAAAATAAAACTAAAAACTCCAGGCTTTATTCACATGCTTTCATTTGTCAGTAAATTATTTTGGCATTCCAGAAATGTATGCCATTTTGGTTTTGTGTGTCCTGCAGAAGAAGCCCTGAAGATATCCCACAAGCGAAAATACTTCTGGATTTTTAGCTAATAAGAGACCTGAGCATCTTGAGAAGTGTTTCCTTTTCTCTAACAGTGAAGTTCAATCCACACCTATTGACACAACGCTGAAGAAAATTTGTAGAAAAAGTTTCTGTCTGCTATTCAGGACTTGATTCAGTTGAGATCCCTAGCATCATTTCATATTTCTAAAAATGGAGGCTGGTGTCCAATTCAGTAGTTGCAGAGTTGGAAGCTGGAATCACCAAGCATGATCCTCAAAGCCTGCCTTTGCATCCAGGCAAGTTCCAAACTGAAGATTCTTGTCAATCTGGGATTCTTTTCATCAGGGTTTCTTGATGCTAGAACAATGTGTATTTCAATATTTTTTTTATCATTTTCAAATATTCCTTCCATCTCTTTATATAATTTTGAAGGCAGTACTTTCATCCTGAGGTTACGTCCCCTTGCTCTGAGGACTGAAAAAGAAGGTTCAGAGACTGGGACTCAGAGGCAGACCCTGAAATCTTGGAACTCTATCTTCAAGATATAGGGAAAGTCAACATACATTTGGATATAGACATATCTGAACCAAGAGCATTGAAATCTGTTTTCGTTGTGCACCTTGTGCAGTCCTGTGCATTACAGGGGATGGAAAACATCATTTGTTTTAAAAATAACCCATACCCAAGGGGACATAGTGAGAATCTGATATTTCCCCTTATACTTCTCCCCACTCCCCACACTTTTTTCTTTGCAAAGGATGGAGGGAAAGCCCTATATTTAGCAGTATCTTACAGGTGCCTCTGGAAATGCTATTTGTTCTCCTTGCACCCACCAGCTGGTGCCCCATTAAAGAGGTATATGAAGATATGAATCTTTGCAGTCTTCAGAGTTCAATGTGACCTTTTCACTTGAGTGATACTGACTACAAAAATGATAACAAAACTGAAAAATGAAAAACATGAAAAACAAAGAGGGTATTTATTTATGTTTAATTAACCTACAAGGATGGAATTGGGGAGACAGTGGTTTTTGGAAGGCTATTCATATTATGTGAAACATCCTTTTGGTTTTTTTCCCCCCTGCCTTTTTCTCTCTTCCTTTCTTGTTCCTTGCTTTCAAATATGAATTGCAAAGCCCTGAAGGATTTAGCCATCTGGACCAACAAAGTGGGAAGCCTCCTATGCCCAGTGGAAGGAAAAAAGAAAAGTAGTACAATTGCTTTTTGTGAGCTAAGCTGACGTTATTGTCTGTTCTCGGGAGAAACACCTTCCTCTGCTGTTGCTTTATGTGCAGATCATTTCCCACTCCTGGGGTTTATCCGTTCTTTCTGCATCTTGAGAGGAAAGAACATTTGGAGACAAGGAGATGTACCTTGTGCATGTGTACTGTAGGATTAGTATGACCTCCTCCATGAATTGAGACAAAGAGGGGCATGGCCTGTCTAGACTAGCCCTGCCTTTTTCTGATATTGCCAGTAAAGTCCCCAGATTTCAGGACCTAACCCCTTTTCTCTGGTCCTCAGGGCAAGGGGAGGAATCTCAGGGAGAGGGTGCTGTTTTGAAAACTCTTTGGTGTCTTTATTTGAGAGAGTAGAAGCTACATTGGTAATTAGCAGTCCAGAAGTCACGCTGAGGGATCATTCAGTAGCCAGGAAAAGTGGAGGGATATGTGAAAAGGAAGTCAGGGTCCATTTGCAATGGTCCAGAAAGCAGGGCAGAGTCTCTGATCCAATTTAGGTGTCTTTGGAGATAGTGGTTGCTTTCAGTGGGTGATGAGTTTTTGCTGCCTGCCTTATCTAGTTCAGATGACATTTGGCTAGTTCAACACCAAAACTAGGATAAAGGTAAAAGGTAAAGGTTTTCCTTTTGACAAGTTGTCAACTCGTGTCTGACTGTAGGAGGTGGTGCTCATCTCCATTACTAAGTCAAATACCCAGCCTAGTCAAAGATGACTCCAGTGGTCATGCAGCCAGCATGACTCCACAGAACTCTGTTACCTTCCCAACAAAGTAGTACCTATTTATCTACTTGCACTTTTACATGCTTCAAACTGCTAGG